AGATATTTTGTCTAAATGAGGCTCTGGAGTGAAGTACAAAAACTGCTATTAAATTTGGCTGTTACACCTATTTTCTGAGGAAACTGTTGCCAGAAACGCAGTCGTTTGTGTTGTTTTGATAATTACGAGAACAGTGGTACTTATAACACACTTATGAAAACGTATGGCTGTATGTTTGGGCTAGGCTACTTGTAATAATACAGCATATACAGTAATGACTGACTTATTTTCCATTGCTGAAAATTCAGTTTCTTTGCATACTGTATATACTGTCATATCCACCTACCCATTGTACATAAAGATACCTGCTCATAAAATATTTATTTCAGCCTTCTTTGCACTCTGCACCATTGCACTATTGTCTACTGTCTACAAATGTTTGTTTATAGATATGTATAACTGTACATATAAGTCTATGTCTTTTTTGTTGAACTTGTTCTGTTTATTTATGCTGTTAGTCTGTGTTTGTACATTGAGAGCAACGTAAAACCAGAGTCAAATTCCTTGTATGTGCACACATACCTGGCCAATAAAAGTGATTCTAATTCTGATTAATTCTGCCTGTATGAGTGTGTGTGCGTATGTGTGATGGATGGCCCTCTACCTGTCAGTCAACGGTGTAATGACAAGCCTTTCAGTGCAGCCCAGGAATTCATTCTGGTAGACAAAGCCCACGTCTGTGATGTTGATGATCATCTTGTCTGAGTCCTCATTGAAGTAGAAACGACACTGCTTCAGCCACTCAAAGTCGTTGGGGCTTTTGACATGGAGCCGGCACTGGAGGGAGAAAAGGTAAAGGATGAAGAGAAAAGAATGGAAGAGCAATGGAGAGAAGAGAGACAGGCAGAGAAGAGAAGTGGAGAAAGATAAAAGGATGGAGAGACAAGGTGGAAAGTGAAGAACAGGAAATCAAAGGGCACCATTCAAGATGTGATGTGAGGTGAGAGATAAAAGCAGGAAGAAAGAGGGAAGGAGGGGTGGAAGGGCACGATGTATAATGGGGCATGAGGTGACAGGAAGGTTACATTAAAAAGGTGGAAAGAGGGGGAAAGGCAGGTAAGGGGATGATGAAAGAACAGAGGTGAGAGGCCATGAGATGAAAATGAGGTGGAAGGAAGGTAAAGGAGACAGAAGGATGACAAAAAAGACACCCCACACACACACAAACACAAAGAAATGGGCAAAATGAGTATTTACAGTCCAGTGAAAAGAGGTGACAGAGGGTGATGAATCGAGAGATGAAAAACAAAAAGATAAAAAATTGTAAGGAGGACAAAAGGGAAAGGGGTAGAATAGGGAGAATAGTTAGGAGATATCATAGGAGAGTGAAGTGAAATAAAAAGAACAGCAAAAAGTGGCAGGACAAGGGAAAGATTTGTTGGAGAGAAAGAAGACGGGAGGAGAATAAATGAATGCAGGTACGAGGGGATTAAATAATAAAGTTACTTCACACCTGTGCTATTCACCCTTGAGACCAGCCAGGCAATGTACTGTGCTGAAGGGGACTTCAAAGACAGCCATTTGTCTAGGTCTAAATATCACTTGACAGCCAATGAAAGACTTGAAGACTTTTGTGAGACAGAATTGACTCCTTGCAGCAAACACCATTTGGTATTCTGACACCCCTACCCTGGGGTAACTGAATATGAAATGCAGTTCTACAAATGGATAGCTCTCTTGAGCAGGGGATTGTGATTAGATTAACAGAAATTGTAAAGACCTTGTTTGTGTGGGCAAATGTACTTAGTATACTGAGCCATCCGACAAAAGGTACTACTAAATAATCAACATACTCACCAAGTCATCAAATATGTCCCTCTGGTGGACATGTATGGTGATGAGGGTCTCGTACTTGGTCCTCTCCACAGCCCCCAGGTCTCTTGTTGTCATGTCAATCAGCGTGTTGAGCAGATCCAGAAAGAGCTGGTTGGTTTTGGCCATAATGCGCCGATCATATCGAGCATTGGTGAGAGCCTCCTCAGAGTCCCTTGTCCATATCATCTGAATTCCTAGCAAGCCAACCTAGAAGAAGGACAAGGATATTTGCTTTGGTTTGATGGTCAAATGATGACTGATGCTTCAAATTGTAATCATTGCCTTGTTAAGCCATCCATATCAACATTTATTTAATTACTTCCCTGAATACAGAAACAAATCTGGTATTGAGATAAGGACAACAAAAGTTATTGGAAAGCTCACAAAATATCTCTAAAATCAACTTCAGTGCAAGATTGATTTTTTTTAGTACACAAATCTACTCAATCACAGTAGGCTGACAATCAAAGACAGTGACAGTATGGCCCATGTTTTGAAATATTAGGGGATTAGTTATTTTAATCCAACTATGATCTACCTGAGCAGGAAAGGAGTTGAGGAAGTCAATGAGCTGGAAGCCAGAGTCCTGGATGGTCAGGGCAGCTTGTCGGATCACCAGGTGCAAAGACCTCTGGGATTCCTTCAACAGAGCATTGAGCCAAACTTCCACATTACCCTCTGCTGTGACAGGACGCTCCAGCTCCACAGTCTCTCCTTCCCGTGATGATACAGCCAGAATACGGTCGTATACCTGAGGACCATGACATGTATAATGAGACTTATGCATCGACACGATTTGGATCAGTCAAATACATTTTGTGGCCTATTATTGTATATTTTATTAAGTCTGTTGCAATTTTTTTTTCAGACCTTTAGTTCTGCAAACAATCTCTTTGGGTCACTGGGTTTGAAAGATGCCAGTGTTCTGTTAGACTGACCTGTCAGAAAGCCAACTGTGTAATACAAACAATAAAAAAACACTCAAAAGGGCTCCATGAAAAATTCACCTTGTCATGGAATCGGACACATTTGATGTTGTCGAAGACATTGAGAAGGTGGGCCTGGATAGTGTGGGAGTCAGAGGCCTGGCCCAGGATCTCCAGCAGGGCAGGGTCAGAGACAAAGAAGAAACGAGGAAACAGCAGACGCTTCTTCTCCAAATAGCTGTTTGACAGCATAAGACATTTTTTTTACTCTCAAAGCAGTTTGTGTTAGAAAACACAACAAAAAAACACATGTAAAATAGTTGGCAGCAAAACATTACAATATTCTTGGATTTAGCTCCTCCCTTAGAATAATATACTTACCCTCCACATTGTTTTGAGGTCTGAGTTGATAAAGATTTGAGTCCTTTGTACTAACCCTGTCAGTGACTTCTGGCAGATTTCCAGCTGTTCAAGGAGGTGAGGAAGCAGCTGTCCCATTGTCTCATCTCCCACACATGACTGTACTACATTGGGCATCTCGTGGGCTCGCATCATGATCTTCACCCATGATTTGTCGATGTTAGAGAATCGCTTTGCTTCCTAAAAAGGTTGAGAAAATTATTCATCTAATTATGGTTGTGTTCTTTGAAATAACTGAACACTGAAATACAAGAATTAAATAGACTACTAATGACTTAAATTTAAGAGAATCATCAGCAACAATTTTCTTTCCTAAGGTCTGGTAGCTGTCTTTTACAAATATTCCCTATAAACCAAATTTCTAATCACAAATAATAGATTTCTGATGTATTACTATGTTAATGAAATGTAAATGTAAGGCATTAAAGAACAGGGGGGACAATTTTGAACTGAGTTTTGATCTTTAGCCTGATAACCATGTCATTTAAATTATATAAAATATGATTAATTCACTGTGACATAATCTACCTTAGGCAGCTGTTTAGCAATGTCTCCACCCACAAACACGGCCTCCAGGTAGATCCAGAGGTTCTGGACAGTCATCCAGTTTTCTATGATATCAGTGGTGTTGGAAAGATTCTGAACCCACTTCTGAATTTGGGCTTTAAATGGGGTGTTGTACCTGGGAAATAAGTTACATTATCATGTAAGCCTTAGATTAAACCACACACAGAGACAGCTGGTATTTTGCTTTGAAGTCCATAAGGCAGTCAATACATTCCCAAGCCCGTGGGGGCAGAACAAGTCCCCCAAAAGTGTCCTGATGCATTTTAATTTAATGTCCCTCATCTTTTAAAATACCTGTTGCTCATAAGAGACCCCAACATCATCAGGCTGTCCTCCATGCTGGTAATGATCTCGGATGTGCTGTCTCCTCTCAGCAGCAGTTCGCCACGGGTCTTAAAATTGGCAAACGTAAAAGTCTTGTTGTCCCACTCAGCAATCACCTGCTTCAGCTTCTGCTCAATGTCCCGCTCTTTCACAGCACTGATACAGATATCCTGCATAAGAAACACCAATATTTGTTCAATCATTGGCAATAACATGTTCATTATGCCCATCAGGATATTAGTAAGTTAGTATATACAGTTGTCACGACTTCAGCCAGCTCGTAGTTTTTATTCTGTTGTTGCTCCATTTTCCCTACTATATAGTTACTCTCCTGTCATTTCAGATCCACCCACTCCCACATTTGTTCTTTGGGATTAATCGCAGGTGATGACTACAACAAATTTCAAGTAGAAAAGGAAATTAATGAATTTAAAAAAAATTATGAAAACTTTTATCAACATCGTTATCATTAGCACCACTTATCATTATTGATATTATCATTGAACATCTTTTTTCATTCATATCATCACCATTATTTTTTGGAGCATATGTAGCCTACTATTCATTCTTACCTCAATCTCTTCTTTATATTTGAGCAGAGGAGCCTCCATAATGTTGCGCAGCTTGAATGTATCCGTTTCCACTTCAAAGGTATGTCCAGTCACCTTGGCACAAAACCAGAAAGATTAGTTGGTCAAATTGTGGAAAAGTCTTTCAATGTTAAATGTCAAGGCGACAACTATCATCATCACAACAGTAGATGTTGATGATGACTGTCTTTTAAGTGAAAATAACTGCAGTTGGTGACCTTGTTTCACTGACCTCAGTAATTCTCTTCCAGTGGCGAGTCATCATGGCCTTGTTAGTCATGAGTTCCAGCAGGGGGCAGCACTCACTGAATTCATCAATTGTTTTCTTCAGGTCCAGGAAAGCCTGCCACTCTTTCAGAGCACGAGGCAGCTTGCGACACCTTGTAGTTAAAGGATATAATGGTCAACAAATTAGAGATTTATTCTGCATGAAATAGTGTATACACTATATGGCCAAAAGTCAGTAGATATCCCTACTAATTATTGAATTCAGTTATAGCAGCCACACCCGTTGCTAACAGGTGCATAAAATCCAGCACACACCCATGATATTCTCATGGATAAAGATTTCAAATTGGTAGTTAAAAGCTCAGAGACATTAAACATAGCAATGTCATTGGATGCCACCTTTACAACAAGTCAGCTCATGAAATTTCTGCCCCACTAGATCTGCCTGGGTCAACTGTAAGTTCTATTATTGTAGGGTAGAAAACACCTAGGAGCAATAACAGTTCAGCCACAAAGTGGTAGACCCCGCAAACTCACAGAGCAGGGTCAAAAAGTACAAATTGCATCATCTGTTGCATTACTCACTACAGAATTCTTCCTCTGGAAGCATCATCAGCACTTAAACATTGCATTGAGAGCTTCTTGAAATGGGTTTCCATGGTCAAGGAGCCGCACGCAAGTGTCATCACCATGCACAATTCCAGGTGTCGGCTCAAGTGGTGCAAAGCACTAAACAGAACAGACTCCACCACTGGAGTCTGGAGCCTGGAGCAGTAGAATGTGTTCTTTGGAGTGATGAATAACACATAACCAAACCTTGGTTGGCGGATAGAAAGCAACCTACCAAAATGCACAGTGCCTACTGTAAAGTTTGGTGGAGGATGCATTACAATAGTTTGGGGAAGGCCCTTTCCTGTTCTGGCATGACTATGCCCCTGTGCACAAAGTGAGCTTGTGAAGGTGTGATGGTCAGGTGTCCACTGACTTTAGGCCATATAGTGTTTGCGTCCTTTTGGGACACACATGCACCAGCACTTTTGCACAGTGTACCCAGCCCAAAGTAACACTTCTAAAACTGATAGACAGCATATCTGCCAGAGGAAGGAGTTGCCCTGTCTTTTTCAACTGTTACGTCAGCACATATTCCCCTTGTGACTAATGCTTACAACCTAACCTTCAACTAGTTTCAGCAGAACAAAGTGGAGACATAATGAAAACTAGCTTGTATTATCCAAGCCCCTTTTCCCTTCAATTATTCTTTGAACCATGCACAATGAATAAACTCTTGTAGAGGACAGAATGCAAAGATAAATGTGGAAGGCAATTGTAAAACTGAAATCATTCAGAGCATTCATGCACAACTTAATGAAAATCATTTTATATGATTTTTTTAAGGGAAAGACTTTGTATCAGGCTTGATGCTAAAGGGGAACTGCACTATTGAAAATCATTTAGATTTTCATTATTTTTCATTTTCCTTTGTTATGATGTTATTTTTCTTTATATGATAGTCTTCAAATTTGATGGACACCGGCTTCCTGTGGCAACATGTGACGGCCTGATTCGTATGTGCAAAAGACACTTTTCTTCAGATTATTCCGTAAAACTGTTCTGTTTAGTTTAGTTTGTTTCAGTTCAGTAGAAGGTGCATGAAATTTCCTGGAAATTTCTCACTGTCACTTTCACTTCCAGCTTAGCTAAGGTCAGCCCAACTTGGGTTAAAACAGTTCGATACTGATCAGTTAAATTCACTTAAAGGGGCCCTGTAGAGTTTTCTTGTAAACAAACAAAAGTTATGTTTGCATTTAGCTCCATAGTACTACTAGAGGTCCATAAGTACACAGATAAGCTTTAAATGTGGTATTAAGATTAATGTAAATAAACCTTGTCTGAAAGTCCAGTAGCTCGTTATTGATCTTCTCAATGTGGATGTCAGCCCAGAGGATATCATAGTAACCATTGACTGTTTCGATGACATTGTTGTAAAGGCCATACAACTTCTGCAAGAGAGTCAGCTGCTTCCTAATTTCCAACAGCTGGGGATGCTGGGTAACAGGAAGTCCAAACAGCTCTTCTCCCCCTGTGTAAGTGGTGTACTTCCTGAACAGGTTGTCAAATCGATTCTAAAGAGAAGAATGGCAACACTTTTTCAGTACAGTACAAACATTTTTTTAATTATATACAATTATTTAATCTATCAGCCATGTATTTCAGCCATTGGACATTTGGAGTAAAATATATAAAAGAGTAATAAAAGTAATACAATTAATAAACATAAAATAGCAAAAAATTTAACTATTAACATAGTTACTAACTGACTGACAGACTAAATAATTAACTTAATTATTATGTCCAGCTTAGATCATCATTAACAAACCTGGAACATGATGAGTCTATCACTGGCATCCTGAGGAGCTAGCCCCACCACCATGGGGCCATCCTGAAACAGATAGGAAAAGGTAAGCCCAGGATAATATGTGAGAGAGTCATAATTAACAAGCCATGTTAATTATGTGCTGTAATAACAATAAACAGTTTGGTGCGAAGTCAGCACATTACTGTAAGTGGCTGAGAGGGCTGTCTAAGGCTTTGAGTGTTTGTGCACTTGCATCCTGTATTTTCTGTCTCGTGTTTCCTTTACCTTCTCATAATCCTGGTAAAAGTGTTGACAGTCTTCCAGGAAGGTCTCCACATTGCTGACCAGCTCTCCTCTGAAGTTGGGCTGCAGGGCCACCAGCTCATTCTGTATCTCTGTGCTCCGGGACAGCAGCTTCTCCCAGGTGTAACGCAGTGTATCCACCTTATCGGCCTCCTCTTTTGCCACTGACAGCTCATATTTATGCAGCATGGCATAGGACTCCTGTAAGGAAGAAAAAATATGCTAAGTTTTTCATCTGACATCTACAAACATTAGCAAAACATAGGTACATAATTTAGTTTGAGTTTTAATTCCTGCAATTCCTTTGCACTGCCATTGAGCTTCTGATACAGGACTCTACTCAAATGCCTTATGTTGCCTTATGTACAGAACATTAACCTGCATGTATACACTTGCTATAGAAAACCATTCTCACTACATACACAAAAGAAACACTGCTGTAATGCTCTCATGTACACTACTGAAAACAAGTCCTGTTCCCCACTGTATGCATTTGTGTGCATGTGTAAAGTGGATCAACAACTATCATGCTGTATGAAAGACCTAATGCTGTGCTTTACCTCTATGGGACCAACTTGAAAATCAATAGATATTAGGTGCTCTCTGATCTCCTTGAGTGCTGCCATGGCGATTCTGATATCATCCAGGTCTTTGATCTGCCGATTGAGTTTCTTTCCTGCTTCATCAACAAAACCAAAGATCTGCTCCATCTCCGAGCGATATTTCCTGTTACAGTACAGTCCGTAGTCCACCATCCAATTCTTAGTTTCAGCAGTAAGGGACATCTTCAGGTCCGCTGGAATAAAGAAATACATGTGAGCATGCAGAGATCAAAGATGGACTGGTTAGAAGTCAGTTTTCTATTTCATGGTGGTGTCAAGTATTCTTTAGACTCCTTATCAGAAATTAAGAAATGTTCAAAGTGCTGTATTTAATCAAAGCAAGATGATGCTATAAGTACCAAAGACAGTAAATAACAGCAGAGAAAGTAACTTAATCTAACCTGTGAACAGAGCTAAAGCTCCTACAGTGATGAACTCTGGTTCAGAGTTTATTTCCAGCTCCAGATCTCGATAGAAAATAATCTGGCTCTCAAACTCTGAGAGCAAGGGACTGCCCTGGATGAATCTGTTAAAAAAAAAACAAAGCAACTATTGTTGTCAGTGGTAAGAATCAGATATCTATATGAGTCATTTAGTTTAACATACTTCCGCATGGTGTCTTCGCGGTCCTTTCTCCAGATGTGATGGTAACGGCTAAAACGGTCAAGAGCAGTCATCACTTCCTGTACGGTAATATAAAATAAGAGTTAAGTAGGAAATGGGAGGTATTAGAAATGATGCGAGATTAAAACACAAATACTAAATATTACAGCTGAAGCAGACAGGACATAAAAAATATAAATTTTATATTAGATCAATTTGGAAGATTGTTTGTTATAATTCTTTAATTTGTTTCTTCTTGTTCTGGACAGGCTTGTCGAATTGCTTCAATGAAATTTACCTTTTTGGTGGAGCTGATGGAGGTGCTGAGAACAGACACTAGCTTGACTATCTCTTTGTTCTCAGACACACTCTTGTAGTAGTTTCTAGCTTGGAAAGGGATAGCCTGGATCACAGATGCTGAAATGTCTGAGGTGCTGCCATCTGGAAAGTGTAGAGTTTAGAGGACATGTGCACAAAGAGTAGGTGGACAGGATAGATCTAAACTTTATAAACAGCTTTGCTTTTACTTGAAATCCTTACAGGATTGTGATCTTTTTTTTTTACCTCCATGTTAGTCATGGTGCAATGACTAACGACTAAAGCGCCACTCTATCTGAGTGAGATTTTACGATGTCTTTTATTTAAATATCTTCTTTCAAAAGCCACTGACATATTCATCTCATTTCATTCATTCTTGTAATCAACACGTCTTTATCTGCTCCTAGTCAGATGAAGCTGTGGTCAGCTGAGCTGTGAAATAAGAAGATTGACTTGAGTGACTGTGGTGGGGTAGCTAATGATCAGTGTTCTGGTCTGCATGTTGGAAACAATATGGATAAACCACTCTGAGGTCAAAATACAGGCAAACTGCTGAGTTGTTGAACTGCTGAAATCAAGTTAGGTGAGATCTCTCATACCAGCCAGGCTTCTGTATGTTGTTGCTCCATCCTCTGATTCACTCTCAGAACTGTCCTGTTTCAGAGATGCCATCCGTCTTTCATTCATTTTTCTCTGCAAAAGGGAAAACCGATGCAAGAAAAGGACCTTAGGGTTTGTTTGGTAGATTGTAGGGATATAAAATGATCAGTCCATAAATATTTACAGTCATGTGAAAAAATTAGGACACCCTATGAAAACAGTGTGTTTTTTAACATATTTAGACATATGGATATTTAATATCAATTTTAACAATACTGAGAGATTCAAGTAATATAACTAAACAAGTAAAACTGAAGAAAAT